CTTCCTAGCAATGGAGGGGCAAGCGCCCTGGCTCCTTAAAGCAAAATTTAGAAAAACGGGAATGGCCAATGGTTGAGAATATTCCTATGATAAAATGCTATAAAAGCCAAAACAGCAACCAAAGAGCTTACAAAAGAGATAAATAGAGTATACTGAAACAATAGGACAGCTCAAAGTGGCTCCCACAGCTAGAATGGATGGATGAAAGAGAAGATTGTTTAGCCTGTCTTTCCCTCCAAAAATCCGCCATTTTACCACCACTTTGGTGGTGCGTTAATTAGAATCATTTCGGTGCATAAGGTCCATTGCATAACCTACATTCCTTGGCATCACGTGATGAATCATGGCAGAATTAGGGAAGGCAAACAATGGTGCAACGAACAAACGATTGAGGAGCACTCCGACTAGAAGGACTCCTGTAAATAGGCCTAAAAGACGTCCTGCTGTCTCTGCTGCTGCCATCAAAGGTATTCAATTAGTATAGCGGCGTGGTGAACAGAAGGAGAAGGTTTTCGAGTTGAGGCTGTTTCTCAGGACCATCATTCATTGCGTAGTAAGTCAAAACTTTTTGTTTTAAACTTTTAATGTTGTGGCCGTCTATTTAGTTTGTGATAACATCTTTTAGGCACCAGTCCACTATTCCTAACTTTTAATTTTGTGGCGTTCTATTTGGTTTGTGATAACATCAGCCCACTTTTCCACCTAGTTCCACCTGTGTGTTACTACTTCATGTACAATTACAGCTGGCTCTAATTAACTCACCTCTATGTGGTGAAGAGGCTGCTTTCTGAACGATTTCAAGTTGAATCTGTTTTTCAGTCATTCAATAGTAAGTCATAACTTTTTGTTTTGAACTTTTAACTCTACATGGCAATGATGGCCATATTTACAAAGTCACTGTTAATTTACATTTGACTGTAATTATTATAATTTTGCCACGTAATTTTTGAGCTGGTTTTCTGGTAACGTACATGTTTGTGAATGTATGCTTGTTTGTATGTGTATTTATGTAGTACATTCCCGCATACCTTATTTAGCACAATAGGTGATAGCTGCACTGAAGCCATAGTTGGGCATGTACTTAAGTTAACTGTAATATAAAAATGGCTGCTGAACTGAGCAGCAAGAGACCAGAGACCTTGGAAGCAGAATTTGACCTCACCTTGTTGTACCAGTCACTTTGTACCACTCTGAAGAGATTTGTAGTTTCCAAGCACACAAACCATGTTTGTTATTGACACATGAAAAGCTCTTTGATCATCCTCCTTTAGTCTGGTCCTTTTGGACCCGCAACATCAAGAGTAAGGATAATGATAGAAGTGAAAGAATATGTGGTACATGTACTTTTGAGACGGGCTGTTGATCTTAAAAACGAAGTATTACAGATCTGAGTTCACTGGAGCAGAGGCTTCTGACTCTTGACTCCATGTCCTCTTGATGCATTAGGGCGCTTAGGTGTAGTGGCATAGCGCTCATCAAGATTAGATGCTCTCAATCTGTGTAACAGTCATGATCATCTGGATTGTGCTGTAGTTCTGACTCTTCCTCTTGAAGCATCGTGACTACATGTGTGGGTGGGTGCACCATATAGGTTATTAAAAACACACCCATTTACTATCATGGCTGTTGATGTTTAAACAGGTCAAAGAAGGTGCTAAACAAACTGTGAAAGACTTCTACGCACACATATCACTAGCAGCATAGGGCAGTTAGACACTTTCCCCTCCTCCTTATCCACTCTTGCTTATAGTAATATATTAGTAGTTGATAATGATATTTGTTTAGTGTTCAAATGTAGTTGTGACTCAAGTTATGCTTTATAAGTTGTCTAATATCATTGGTGAAGTAGTGATATGACTATCAATCTTAATACTATTGTTAATATTTATTTTTGCCTTTTTGTTTTGTTCTTCTTTGTTTGTACTCTTTTTTTGTCTCCCTATTGTATCTCTAGTGTTTTGTGTCTTGGGCCACTATTTTTATGAATTTTATTTCACAATAATAATAATTTAATAATAGTAATAATAATAGTAATAATAATAAGTCCCACTTTAATATTAACAGTGCATAAATTGGGTTTATTTTTGCACTGTTAAAGGTTCAAAGTTTTCACATAATTATCATAAAGCTGAAACTACCTAATGATTCCAAGTTTAATTTCTTTCTTGCAAAGTTTGAGAAGCCAAAAAATTTTAGTCACATAAAATAAGTCAAGAGTTCTAGTATGATGAATTTTTCTTTCTTTAAGTTATGTAAGTCATTAAAGTACGATTTCCAATGTCATTGATTGTTGACAAGTAATAGGATAGAAATCTATTGTTTGGCTTCTCTTTTGTAATATGTAGGTGACTATACTTATAGCCAAACTATAATTGTAACTATACTAAGTATATTTACCTTTTTGCCCTTAATAGAAAGACTTAAATTGACATAACCTTTTTCTTTGTGTGTGAAAGTAGAATGCCGAATTTGTGTCAAAGGGTACGAAGATATAGTTATTGCAAGAAAGAGTGTCCGGGCACAGTATATTTCTTTTTTCGTTATTGATTGAAGGCTCTCATTCATAGTGAAATTTAATCCTGCATTATTAATAAAGCAGTATAGGCTTCATCCAGATGGTAAAGGGTGTTCATCTATCACTAAGGGCTTGGAGTCTTTTTATGTTCCTCAAGATTAGCTTTAACAGTAGTGACAAGTAAGCTACAATCGAGGCTGTGTAAAGTGTTATATTAATTGATTTGGGAGTGGTTACCACTATTGAGCGAGAAACATACCTTGAAGTGAGATGGAGGATACCTCTGTGTAAGAGCTTTATATTCTGGTCAAAACTATACGCAGTCTACACGAAGGCGCTACACTTCTCTGAACACCGGAAGTGTAGGAAAGCATATGGTTTTCCTCATGCTGTAATGGATACACATACTATTTTACTTATTTCTCTTACATAGATACTTGAACAGTGCTGTAACTAGCACCATTAAGAAAAGAGAAGTTGCTTGTTATAAAGAAACAAGTTTTGTTTTCATGTGCGAAGTTTAAGCAAAGATATGCCACCGTGAAAATTATTTGTTTAATAAGAATTGTTTGACTTTGATTTTTGTGCAAATCATTCACAGACTACCAGGAACCTCTAAAGTCTTTCCATAGACTTAGGAAGGTGTAGTCTACATGTCCTACAAGTTTCAATCTTAATGGAGCAGATATAGCTGTAGAAAAAGTGCCGTAAACTTGGCCACAATTTGGCGACCTAAAATCCTTGATATACAAGAGCTGTTCTCCTTATTTACCATATACAGATAGAACCAACTCTCCTCCTTGCTATTATCAAGAATGAGCTTCATCTGTGCTTCTGTTTAGGAGATACACATCTACTAGCACAGCCACCATCTTCACTTTTTAGCCACAAAGCAACTTTGATTTTTGTGCAAATCATTCATAGGGGGCTTGTGCCAAAGGGTCTGGTACTGTACTTAATACATTGTGAGACTCCTCAGTTGCTGGGTCTTATTTTATTCAGGTAAAATTCCCCTCAAACTTGCTATGTTTTTCAGAAATTGCCTAATTATCAGCTTATCAGCTACACGTGGTTCAAATTTTGAATGATTTTAATTATATTCATAAGCCATTGGCAATGAATATCATTTTATCAGTGACGTATCAGGAAGTGAAGCCATAGAAGAACCCTTTCACAATTGTGTAGCGCCTTCGTTTAGACTGACTATAGGGGCAGAACTTACACATTGGTTTTCCAGTCAACTAAAAATTATCTCTAAAGCAAGGAACAACTCATAAGGTAGTTAATGCCTTACAATTGTACTGCCATGTTTTTGTACCATAACATGGCAAGTAATGTCTGGAGCTGTGTAGAATGAGGTATGCAGCTAGTACCAATAGCTCAAAATATTATCAGGGTAAAAGAGAGTGTGTGTTTGGGAACATTGTTATGTTTAAAGTTTAAGCTTATTGAGTAAACTATTAGTAAATGGCACCACCCATTTTGTGGCACTTGTTTTATTTATGTAAACTATACTTTGCCATCTCATGAAACTGCAAAGTATGATGGCAATAGTTGCCCTTTATTTTGCATGATAGAGTTTACCCAGGGCCCTTATCTCTCACCTTCATGAATGCTCTGTTTTATTTCTCTCTTTTTGTGTGTTTTTCTTGTTCATGTCTTATTCTTATTTGAAAGCTAGTAATGATAAACTAAATGACTGTAATGTACAATCTCAACTCAATGTCTGAGGTTTTCCTAAAAGTGTGTGCAATCTATTATTATTTTTTATAACAAAAAAGAGAAATTGTTATTTGCAATTATTATAATTTATTTGCTATACACATGTACATGTATGTAATATTTGTTGTGATTAATTGTGTAGTCAACATTGTTTGTAGTGTATACTTGTGAAACAAAGCACGTTTTATACAGTCACTTGTTCTGTTGATTAACTGCTGACAGACATACATGTACATGTCGGGACTTTATTTTGTGGTTAGAGGTACCCAATTTAATAATTTGTACTTTTAACAATGAATGCTGTACCTAAATTTGTATGTGTACCGTAGGGTACAGGGCTGTAAATTTCACGAATTGGCCTAAAGATCTATTTTGCAGATTTAATTATCGTGAATTTAAACCGTCTCTTATCATCTTGTACCGTAATAATTTGATTTTTGCCGAATTAGTTTCTGTGAATCTTCAAACAGTCTGGAAATCAGCCACATTTACAGCCCTAAAAAAATGCACCCTGCGCCTGTGGTATATTAACTTTCTTTTGTTGCATATTTCATACTATGTTTGGTTTACATTATACTTTCTACTTCTTGTAGCATGAAAATTTTTCTGTAAATGCTTTATAATTTTTAGTCTAATTTTAGATATTTTTACTGTTATTGTATTGTCCTAGGGTCATGCATAAATTTTGTTTTTTTAAAGTATGGAATTAATTTTTGTGCAGGTCCACTACATTTGTGAACATCAATTAAAATATTAAAAAAAAATTAAATCGTGTATGTTAATTTCAAAGAAAATTTAAACATTATAAATTTGAGGCCATGATAAACCATGCAGCTATACTGTACATGTATGTACTAATGATTGTTTTACACCTGTAGGTGAGAGACTGTATATATCGTAATATATCACCAATTGATGGCACCTCATTGAAATGCCTCCTCCACTCAAGGGGTATCAATAATCGTTATATTGGGAAGATTGCAATGCTAGCCAAGTCAAGGGAAGATCTGGACCACTTACATGTAAGTCAACTAATTCCTGACATGCAATGGTACTTGTACTAGCAGTTTTGTGGGTTTAGCAGTTTTGTGGGTTAAGCAGTTTTGCCAAAATATAATTTTGGCAATTTTTTGGCGATTCATTAGTTACTTGTACATGTAGTAGTAGCTAATTTGGTACAGTACATCCTCGATTATCCAAACACCTTTGTGCACCTCTATTGGGAGAGATGTTCAGATAGCTGAATAGAGGATATACATGCTAAGTGTATTCATTGCAAAATAAATGTATTCATTGCATGCCGTAATAACTTTCAAGAAAGACATTAGTTCGTTGGACATCAACTTTGCATTGGCAGCAATGGACAAAAGATAGAAAAAGGCTTGGTACCAGGAAACCGCTCTTTATTTCTTGATAGCAATCTTTCAGGTGACTACTAGACCCATTAGATCCTCAGTATGCTTTCTAAGCTTCCGAAAAAGGCCTCAAGAAGGTAGCAAGGCAAGAAAATGAGTTTTCCCCCATTGAACTTTTAATAAACTTAAAGTCCAACATGGCAGCCAATTTACTGTGTGGGTTGGATATACGGTACTTAAAAATTATGAATATACCTAGCACGCATATCCTCTATAGTCTGGATAAGTGAAATACAGCACAGAATACAGTAGGCCGACCTATCCTATACTTTTCTGAAAATTAAATGAGTATGACTTTCCTTTCTCTAACTCCCAGAGCATCTCAGGCTTCTCTTTAATGGTACCGTATACTGGGATATTTTTGCGTCGCTAAATTTTCACGAATTTTGCATTTGTAAGATTTCATGAAATAATATTTTTGGAAACAGCCTATAAATTCCACCACGTGGCACTGCAAAGTTACAATTTCATGATTTTTATTTTTGCGACGAAGTAAAAAACGTGAAATTTGTGAAAATTTGGCTACTCGAAAATTTCCCAGTATACGGTATTTCTCTTGTTAAGCTCTGTAAGCTCCTTGCTGCAGCAGCCATTTTAACCGGTTATTATAGTCTAAGCATGGGCATTAGAGGCAGCCATGCATTTGGATAAGCAGGGGTTTGGATAAGCAAGGGTTTGGATAAAAGTGGTACGGATAATCAAGGACGTACTGTATCAGCAATTTCTCCACACAGATCTGCCATCATTTTACATATTAATGACACTATACTTGTATGTTTACATATGCATGTACATGTATATTATCTCGTAGAGGATCTGTGTTACTGAGATGATACTAAGAAGAGATTCAGGAAGCTTTTATTAATGACTCCATTGAACCGTGTGTCAGTCAATGTGGCTTATTTCCTCAACTGTTTACTAGTAAGATATGCAGTGATAATAGTACACTAACAATACATTTGTACATAATGTACATGTAACTTTAATTTTGTCATTATTTGACTTTGCTCTTTTTTATTTTTTAGACTGATACTGAAGAGATTGTTTCTGATGAAGTAAGTACTGTACAGTACTATTGTCTCCTACTCTCCTGTTGTATCATTGGTCCTCTCTCTCTCTCTCTCTCTCTCCCTCTGAGGTTGCTGCTACAAAAAAGAAGTCCAAGAAGAAGAAGGGAGGAGGAAGTGGTGGTGGTGGTGCTAGTGGTCCAGTCACTAAAACTACATCTGCTGGAAAAGGTATTGTGCTATATCTTTTACAGCATGTGTGACATACAGAGCATAATGTGCATTTACTTTACATGTATATGAACATGTAATGACTGTATTATGTTACTATTAATGTATGGAGCCATTGCAGTGCATTTCAAAGGCCATATGCAGTGTATGTTTACTTTACCTTTTACTTTGTACAATAGCTGCAATTGATAATATGCAACTTGTACATGTACTGTACATTAATGATATATTTTGTTAGACTTGTCTCAAGGAAAGTTATGGAAACTGTTAGTGGAAGATGTACTTCAGCATTTCCTGTACACATTGGAATAGTAAGCTAATAATAACGGAATAAACAATATTTAATGATGTATATGTACTTAAATATCTATCTCTTTCTCTAGTAATTCTGCAACTCACATGTGTACTACTTGTGGTGTTAGCAGAGTCTCTCTTCTCAGGGAATTCTGTAACAAAACAGGTTAGATGGCATCATACCTCACTAATATTCATTGACCGCACCCCTTATCAGGAGTACAGATTACATCGAAGGATTACAAATTTTCCTTGACTGCTCCATTGAATGAAGGTGATCTTGCCTGTATTGTACCTGTTGTTAAGCACACTGATTTTAAAGTGAGACAAAACTTCATTTGTGACCATAATTGACAAAAGGTACCTTATGGTGGATTTGAAAATTCATCATTATAATGAAAAATATCAACCTCTGAGTGCTCTGTTAAACTAAAATTGTTTCTAAAAGTTAGATAGCAACTTTTTGCATCCTGTGGAGTAATTTTATGATAAATGGAGCTCAGGAAGATGATTTTTTTAGCTATAAAGACAAATTTCACTACCCGCTATAAGGTACCTTTTGTCAATTATGGTCACATTTATTACTGCTTTGTACTGTCACTTTTGCTACACAATGTATACCGTAGTTTAGGGAATTTATGTGGTAGAAACTTTTGTGTTTTTAAATAATGCTGTTATTTAATTTTACCAAATAAGACTGTGTCATGTATTATTGAATGTGGCATATAATTATGTAGGTGATCTAATTTTTTTTGGAATTCTAATCCAGTGAAATTACAATCACAGTGAAAAATTTTCAGATCGATGGTATATTATGTCTTTTACATGTATGTGTACTTCAATCTTCAACATTTTTATTGTATTTCTAATTTTCTTTTTATCTTAAATTTTCTTTCCCTCAATCCCCCCAGCCTCTTGAAGCCTCTGGTTTGTATGAGTTGGCTCAGGTTCAGTTGCAGTCTGGTAATATTGAAGTTGCTCTTGACTATCTATCTGGAGCTGTGCAATTGTTTGCTCAAGTCTTTGGGCCACAACATGTCAACATAGCTAACTGTTATAAGTGAGTGGTGTCATTTAAGTACTTATATATTCCATTGTATTATTATATATAGAGTTATTGCATGAATTCATCATGCTCTAGGTGACAGTAAACTAGTAAGTGGTGCATGTAACTACATGTATGTGCATGCCATGTACATGTTAATGTATCGACTGGTTGTACATGTAGTTTAGTTTAAATGACTGATACCGAGTTAAAATGTTATGCATGTTCTAAAGTTTACTCACTTTCACCTGATCCCTGGTTGTTATCAATTAATAATAAAAGCTGAATTTGATTTGGCTGTTCTAGCTGCGTCATTTTGGTCAAGGTATGTCATTGAGTTTATAGAGGGACATCCAAAATAGGCTAAGGCCTTGTCATTTTGATCTGTTCTTTTCTAACGACTGGAAGGACCTAGCAATTCTAATGGCACAAACAAAATTTCTAAATTCCTGGATTATCAAAAGTTATTATAAACAAGCGTAACAGTGTAAAAGTATTACTATAATTGATTTCACCACCTTGCATGTACAGCTGGGTTCTTATTAAAACTTAAAGAGGTTTTCTCTACCTTCTAATCCTTCAAGAAAGGTCTTGAGACTGTACATATGTTCTTTTGCATAAAAACTTATAACTTTGTCCGATGTGTAAGCCACCATTTTGTTTGCTCTGACTACTTAAAGGAGCGTGGGAGGGTGTTTGCTAAGGCTTATGAATTTTCTTATTTCTCCAATACAACATGTATAAAAGAAATGTAAGTGTGGACATACAAATATGCAAGCATCACATGTGGGTGAAATCAATTATACATGTAGGAACGACAAGGGGACTAAACCCCCAGGTCGTTAAAAATCACTAAGTCAAATGAAACTCAACAGACTTTAGTTCAAAACGCTTTAAAACTTTATTAATATTTTAATTTCTTTACAAGGTAGCAATTAATTATTTACTCAATTGAAATTTAATTTTAAATTGACTTGCTACATTTAATCTCTCTCTTTTTTCATCTTCAGGCAATATCATTTCAGCACAAAACTGTCATTATGTATGAGAGACTGCTAGGAGTGGACCACTGCAGCTCTATATCAGCCTATGTTAGTTATTAATAACGGGCCACACACACAATATTTATTATAAATTTATCACACTATTAGTTCCCCACAAAGCATGCTAAGTGAGCTAAAAGGCATGCTTTATGAGCTGACAAGCCTTTGAAATATCATTAAAAAATCCAAATTTGATTAGAATGAGCTCAAACTTTGGAACATCATTAGGACATGTATATGTATCAGAAACATGTCTCTTGAGCAATTTTTGGCAAAATTTGGTCATAAACCAAATTCTTTGGTATTGGCCCCTTTTTTAGCAAAATTTAAAAATTAATGAAAATCTGATTTTGATCAGAATGAGCTTTAACTTTCTGTACAACATATGGATATGTTATGAGAAAATTATAAACACAGAATTTTCTCCTATGTTGTTTTTGGCAAATTCTGGCCAAATACCATGTACCATGTCTTTGATCCAATTTTAAAGAAAGTTTTAAAATTTATAAAAATCCAAATTTTGACTAAAGTCTGCTTAAAATTTTTTCACAGTATTAGAACTTCTATATGTATCACAAAGTTTAATAAAATTTTTACCTTTGCAATGTTTGATTAAATTTTGGGAAAATACATTCTGAAATATTTTATCAACATTTGGAACAACTTTAAAAATTCACTGAGAGCATTATGTCAAAATTCTGCAGGAAACCATGATCATGATAATTTCAACGACTAAGCCCACCACTGATTTTTTTCTTTATATAGTTCCATTTGGCTTAGTATTGCTGTGGGGCTGAGAGGAATGTTGTGGTGTTGAGATTACTGTATAGAGTTATGTATCTAATAATGTTAACACTTGGTGAGGATCATCCTGAAATGTCTAATGTTGATGTAAGTATTGTTTTATCAATGTTCTCTAGTTTCATCATACACATGTACATGTATTGTTTAAAAGTATTGTAAATTTTGTATCATAACTGTTATTATTTATTTTAATTACATTGAGTAGTTTTACATTGGTTTACTATTGAGTAATGCTGGTCATTATGAAGAAAGTCAGGCATATCTGGAAAGTGCTCGTAGATTACAAAACAAGTGAGCTAGTATATACAAATCAAGAGAATTAAGGCTGGCTATGTTTGTTCTTGTATCTGTTCATTAGGTTTCATGGAAGTCAATCAATTACTGTAGCCACAATGTTAGTAATGATAAGATACATGTACATGTACATCTTATCTTATCGTTTTCTCATTGTTTTGGCTCCTCCTTCCCTTCCCCCTCTCTCTTTCCCTCTCTCTCCATCCCTCTTTCTCTACCTCCCTCCCTCTCTTCTCTAGTCATCATCTTCTTGCCAACTCATTGACTCACATTGGAGCATTTGCTGAAGCTAAGCAAAATAAGAGAAAAGCATACAATATCTATAGGACTAAAGTATGCAGTAATGTTAATGCCAGGCCATCTAGGTTTCTTAACTGTTTTCTCTCACAATTAGTTTGGCCCAGATCATGCACGTACTGTTCAGTCTTTTAAAAAACGTGAGGTATATCACTGAGAAGCAAGTCTCTTATGAGCAGACTGTAAGTGTATTTGGCTAACTATTGCCAATGGTTAATTACCAAAATTATCTTGTTCATATGTTGTCTTCATAAATTATAAATAATTGTTGTTTCGAAAAAGAAAAAATTAATAGCAATGCCAAGTGTAACTATTTGTAAACACCCAAATTCACACATGATGCGAGTATCAGTAGCCTGAGCTAATTATTGTAAACACTTGATCTTTGTATATAGTTATACATACTACTGTATCAGATATTACAGGTACCAATATTGCACACTCAAAAATTTATGTTAATGCCGTCACCATAGTATGAAATTAATGTGGTAGAAATTTAGGTTTCAAAATTTTGTGATCTAATTTTTACGTAGTAAAATTATTGAATATGGCATGTAATTTTATGTGTGATATAAATTAAAGGACAAGGCTGACTATGGCATGGTACAGCTTTCAGCTGTGCAATGCTTTTACAGATACAAGTCAGCTTGATTTTATTACATAATTGTTTTCCCTCCACTCATGCCCTTAAGTGTACATGTCCTACATCTTTTACCTTGCATGTGTATGCTATGCACCCTAATGCTCAAAATAAATAAATGAATTAATCCAACAAGTCATACAAGGCTTGCCTAAGCTGTGACTTAATAATCACATGCATTCCATCGTGTCTACATGTATACATTTAATATGCCTTTTAGTCAAACTTTGTTGAATCCATCATTTTCTAATTATTATAATTTTGATGAAATTTATCTCATTTAGCCTGAAATAAATTTTGCTGTTCATTCACACTATGACACTCAGTTTATGTTAGTGGCATGCACTTGCACTGACACTATATACAATACTTCTCACTTTATTCAACACTATTATGACAATATGTAGTGACACAGGCTTGCATTTGCAACTTGCATGAATAAATACCGTATAGCGGAAAATTTTCGTGGATCCGTCCAAAAATCAATTTCGTGGCTTTAATTTTCGTGGTTTTCTACAATTCGGCCATCTTAATCTGTATAAAAATCGATTTTCGCGGATTTTACTTTCATGGGTATTGAAAAAAACGCGAAATCCACGAAAATTTTGGGCCACGAAAATTTTCCGCTATACGGTAGATCATTCTAGAGCCTTTTCTAATAGTAATCAATTTATTTGCTGTCACTACTCATACTGGAAAATCCTATCAGTATTACCCTATCTTTAATATTCTTGTACATGTACATAGTTAACTTTGAAATAGCCTACATGTCAGTCGATTTTAACTAAAATTTACATTTGTTATTACCATACACATTATATGGCGACATATTTTGGTGGAAATGAGTTGTTCTGAGTCTACTCTGATTTGAACATGTACACTTATGCTCCTCCCTTATCTACTGTAGGTTGCCTAAATTTCCTTGCCAGTTATTTGAATGTTCATCATCTAATCGTTTAGCAGTGCAAAGTCATCATAAACTGTGAGTTAGTAGTAACTGGTAATGATTAAAGTATGCATGTACATTTATAGATTCTGCTTCTACATGTACATGTACAAGATTGTTAGTTATTTTCAGTTTTAATAACACTCCTGCCATTCTCACACCTAGCATTTAATACAGTTACTGTAACACACACATGCAGGTGATACCAGTCGTGGCACACAATATTCTTTAGAGAAATGTTGTAGCAGACAACACTTTGTGATGATTGATATTGAATTAGTACATTTTACATTGACGTGGCCTACTCTAATGACTGCCTTTTATTTCTCGTTGTTGACTTGTACTTATGATTAATAATTTTTGCTTTTTTTTGTTTTTCTGTATTTTGTAAATGTAGTGGTATGTGTGTGATGTTTGAGAGTACCGTTGTATGTAGTGTTGTAAAGTACTATATTTTCTGTTTTAGTTCTAGTTTTAGTTCTACCAACTACTCCATTTCTACTTTTAGTTCTAGTTTTAGTTTTACCAGTACTCCATTTCTAGTTTTAGTTTTAGTTTTAGTTTTACCAGTACTCCATTTCTAGTTTTAGTTCTAGTTTTAGTTCTACCAGTATTCCATTTCTAGTTTTAGTTTTAGTTTTAGTTTTACCAGTACTCCGTTTCTAGTTTTAGTTCTAGTTTTAGTTTTACCAGTACTCCACTTCTAGTTTTAGTTCTAGTTTTAGTTCTACCAGTACTTCATTTCTAGTTTCAGTTCTAGTTTTAGTTCTACTTGTACTTCCGTTTTAGTTTTAGTTTTAATTTTAGTTCCATGCCAAATTCTGATTCTGGCCTTATAGTTCTAGTTTTAGTCCTACTAATACACCATTTCTAGGTGATTTTTATAATTTTTTAATGAAATTTAATTTTAATAACTTAAAAGGGTAGCATTTTAGTTCTATTTTTAGTTTTAGTTATTCAAAGTGGTACCATTTTAGTTCTAGTTTTAGTTTTAGTTATTAAAAGGGCTCCATTTCAGTTCTAGTTTTAGTTTTAGTTATTAAAAGGGTAGCGTTTTAGTTCTAGTTTTAGTTCTAGTGATTTACAATTGCACATTTTAGTTTTAGTTTTAGTTTCAACTCCTTAATAGCTAAATCTTTAGTTCTAGTTTTAGTTCCAGTGCTTTAATTTGTCAAATTCTAGTTTTAGTTCTAGTTTTGGTTCTTTGTATCAATGTAGTTCAGTTCTAGTTCTAGTTCTTGGAACTAGAACTAGGAGAAAAATAGGTGTACTAAAATAGATTTAGTTCTAGTTCCGTTGGAACTAGCACAACACTAGTTGTATGTACCATTGTGTGATTGTGTTGTATGTACCATTGTAATAAAGATGAGTGTTTGGTTTCATGTACATGTACATATCTTCTCCTACAGTCCTTGACTTCATATAATCTTTATAGTTCATTAATCTGTTTTATTTCTCTCTGTCTTTTTTGTGTATTTTTGTTCTTTCTTTGTTATGTCTGTTTAATTTTTATCAGCTAAAATTAAACTCTCATTTTGTCTTATTTAATGCACAAATCAACAAGTAATTATTATGAAATTGGAGCTTTATGTGTTATTCTTTTTCAAAAGCTAGTAATGATAAACCAAAGTAGAAGAATGTAAAACATTAAAGGGCTCAGCCCCTGAGCCACTCTATTGTTGTGCTTTATGACCCATCTTACTGCTAGCGAAGTATTTGGACTCAGTTTAGTCTAATCTTGCTGAGCATTTGCTGCAAATAAGCCCAGACTTGCTGATAGCCGCCATTTTAATTCATTGTGACCACACCCACTTTTAATGAAGATTAGGCTACTTAACTTTAGTAATAGTTGGACGACCCTATCCCCGTACAGACAACATCTTTCTCGTCTTAGTGGGCTTTGCTCAATTGCGGTAAAAGTAATGTTAATTTTTAAAACCTCAAAGCAAAGTCTAAGGTCTTTCTAAAATTGTGTGCACTGTCACATCTATTATTAATATTTTTATCACAAAAAATTGTTTTCTTAATTCTATGCAATTATTAATTCATGTTATATTTAATTTTTAATGTAAATTGCTGTGATAAATCAGATCCGTATTGTGTAGTCAATCTCTGACTGAAAGTGTATACTTGTGAAACAATACACGTTTTATGCAGTCACCACTTCTTTTGCATGAGTTAATTAATGTGTTCAGGCATACATGTACAAGTAGGGCCACTACTGTAGTTAGAGAGTACTCAACGTAAAAATTTGTACTCTTTAATATTTTGTGGCTTTGTTCTAATACATTCATTTAATTTTCATTTTTGAAAATTAGTTTACAATTTGGATAGTTTTAGTTTTTGAGCTTTCTGAGACCTTTTGTCAATGACTATACCAAGATATAGTATATAGTTTATTAGGTTAATTGTAAATTTACTACATTACATAATTAAAATATTACATTTAGTAACTCTTGTAAGACATTACAACATATTCTTTGATCAAATTAATATTAATAGTGCTTAAATTGGGTTTATTTTTGTTCTTTTAATTCACAGATTTATCTCAACTATCTGGCAATACAAACTACAAATTTTTTTATTTTTATAGTAACATCCATATGGTCATAAATAATTGGCTATTGTCTTTACTGCTTTAGGTTTGCGTTTTGTTACTTTTTTAGCAGCAAAAATTACTTTTTTAGCAGCAAACATTACTTTTTTAGCAGCAAAAATTACTTTTTTAGCACACTTTCTTAGCAGCAGTGAGTGGACAGGGCCGTCCGGGTCACCAATTTAGCGTATGAGTATATGTGTGTTGCAGCTAGTGATAGGGAAGCAGATATGCGCTTGCCATAGAGCGCTCACATTTACCTCGAGTTGACTTGACACCCAAACACTGATCAATTTTAAAACACAACATGCAATATATATTAAGAGATATCATGAATATGCATGAGATGTGATGTCATGAGTTCACTACAACTGTATCTATTGTTACTATTGTTACTAGGAGAAGTAACTGATGGTGATACTAGAGCTGTAAGAGGAACAGCTACACGTAGTAGTAAGTTCTTTATGCTAGCAGTAAGTGTATCTATTGTTACTAGGAGAAGCAACTGATGGTGATACTAGAGCTGTAAGAAGAGAAACAGCTACACGTAATAGTAAGTTCCTTTATGCTAGCAGTGAGTAAGTGTATGTCTCGAGCTGTGTAGAATGAGGTATGCAGCTAGTACCAATAGCTCAAAATAATATCGGGGCAAAAGAGAGTGTGTGTGTTTCAGAAAATTGTTACGTTTAAAGTTTAAGCTTACTGAGTAAAAGTTCTATTAATGATTGGCACCACCCATTTTGTGGCACTTGTTTTATCTAGGTACACTGTATTTTGCCATCTCATGAAACTGCAAAGTTTTATAGCAATAGTTGCCCTTTATTTTGCAAGATAAGGTCTACCCAGGGCCCTTATCTCTCACCTTCATGAATGCTCTCTGTTTTATTTCTGTCTTTTTGTGTGTTTTTCTTGTTCATGTCTTATTCTTATTTGAAAGCTAGTAATGATAAACTAAATGACTGTAATGTTAATTTGTACAACCTCAACTCAATGTCTGAGGTTTTCCTAAGAGTGTGTGCAATCTATTATTATTGTTTTATAACAAAAAAGTGAAATTGTTATTTGCAATTAATATAATTTATTTGCTATACACATGTACATCTATGAAATTTTTAATGTGATTAATTGTGTAGCCAACATTGTTTGTAGTGTATACTTGTGAAACAATGCACGTTTTATACAGTCACCTGTTCTGTTGATTAACTGCTGACAGACAGACATACATGTACATGTTGGGCCTCTATTCTGTGGTTAGAGGTACCCAATTTAATAATTAGTACTTTTAATATTTTTTGTCTATTTTCTAATGCATTCATGTAATTTTGATCAGTCTACAATTATGTTTATGAGCTTTTCTGAGACCTTTTGTCAATGGCTACACCAAGACATATATGTACATGTAATATGTAGTTTTGTATGTTGTGTTAATACTACATCACATTTTTCAAAATGATAACACGTACAGTAATTCTTCTGAAGACATGACACAAATTTAATATTAATAGGCCATAAATTGGGTTTGTTTTTACACTTTTAACACTTTTGTCTCCTCTTTCTTACTCACATTACAGATGCAGAGATTGCCGTTACAGTTGATGGTACATTAAAGGTATGATTGATTCACACTATTATTGAGATAAAGGAGTTGACTGATCTATTTAGGTCTTCCTGTCCATTCTCATTGACTTAATTGCAGACTTCTTACTAGCTCTTGTTGATCACAGAGACTCGTGGCAGGTAATGATGATATATTGTGTAGCTACATGTAACATGTATGTCGTACATAGTAGATGCATGTAGATTGGAATAGATAATTTGGGCAAGTTGCTTTTTAAAAATGAAGGTTCGGAAATTAATAATTTTTTACAAATGTTTTACCATGCCAACGTCTTAAGTTAAGGTTTTGGCTTATAGGTAAAATTTTATTTGCCTAAATTTCTACTTGCTACCTGGCTTGGGGCAAAGTACATGTACTCTAAGAAGTATTTAAGTACATTACATGTATCTGTTAAAATTTTAAAATGAGTACAAGTACAAGTCCCTCATTTTTGCAAATTGTATTGAGTATGAGTACGAGTACTCTATTGTAGTACTATTTAAGCATTTGACCACACTCAAATAATTATTTAAGCCTGCTTGATACCTATGTACATGTACATGTGCATACAGGATGTGTAGTTCTTCATTTCAAATGTACGGTATGTAATTTTACTACTTTTGTTTCTTGAATTCCAGAAATTTGCATTTACATGATGTACAATGTACATGTACTCATTAAGTAATTTTTCATCTTTAATTGATACAACTGTATAACATAGTGTGTGTACATGTAGATATATGATGCTATTGTAATTCATCCTTGTGAGCCAGGAGTAACTGAATGGATCAATGTCTGTAACCTAAAACGGTAAAGTCATTTATTGATATTTACAATAAAGTACTAGTACTACCAACTTAATTTGAACACTTTTAGGTGCGTCTTGTAGTGACGGACCAGTTTCTGATCTTTGTTGGACGGGACAGGGTCACCACTCCCTTGTATATCAGGATTTGTGTATTTTAATGGGATTAATGGATATATACCGTAAAGTACAAGTATTACCAACTTAATTTGAACACTTTTAGGTGCGTCTTGTAGTGACGAACCAGTTCCTGATCTTTGTTGGACGGGACAGGGTCCAGGGGTGGATCTAGGATGTGATCCTTGGGTGGGCCTTGATGATTTGGGTGTGGTAATTAGTGGGTGTGGCCAACAAGGCCAGCATTCAGAGTCAAAATTTTGAAGATTAAAGCTGTTAAAATGAACTCCTTTGTGGTTAAAAATTGTTTGCATAGTCATGCTTCACAGTTTACATAGTCATGCACATGAAAAAGTTGATTTTAAATTACTGCACAAAATTTTTGGGTGGGCCTGGCCCACCCTGGCCCACCCCTAGATCCGCCCCTGACAGGGTCACCACTCCCTTGTATATCAGGATTTGTGTATTTTAAAGTCATTTATTGATATTTTCGGTAAAGTACAAGTACTGACAACTTAATTTGAACACTTTTAGGTGCACTTGTTGTCACGGATGCTTGTGTTAAAGTTAGTTGATGTCATGTACATGTAGCTATAATTTTTTGACTGTTTTATCATAGATTGGCTACAGGCAAGGACAACCTCAGCCTAACATGTGTTAATCATTTGATTGTTGACTGTTGAGTTGGGGGACTACTGTTTGTTATCCATTGTACCTGTTGAATGGACACAATGCAGTATCAGTAAGCCTTTTCTAATACATGTACATATAATACCGTATGGCTGGTAATTTTTGGGTCCTGTATTTCGCAAAATCTACTAACAATCCAATTCGCGGATTTTAATTTCGTGAATTCTACCACGTGTACCATGCAGGTACCATATTAAATTAATTTTCGTGAATCAATAAGGAATACGTGAAATCCATGAACTTTGCAACCCATGAGAATTACCGGCTATACAGTAATG